CAGCTGGTTCTTTCTCAGGTGACGCTAGACAATCGTGACAATTAAAGCTGCCCAGGACACAGAGCAAGGCCTCTCCAGACAGTGCACATGTGTCGCCGTGGGGTATCTCCAGGGGCACCAAAAGGAAGGCTAGCGGACTTTGACTGACCTGCACACGTAGGAAACAGAGCACCAAGCACTGGGCCCAAGCAAACGGTTTCAAAACTCATGCTCTGACACCTACTAGTGGCGTGGCCTGGGAATTGATCAGCGTAGCGCACATGCTTAGCATGCATGAGTCTCTCTGGCACCTGGAGGGTGGGGGGAGACCTCTCCATGTGAAGTAAGGCAAGCAAGTTGTCTGACTCGGAAGACTTCCATGAGTGTATTTGACCAGACGATGATTGCTACGAAAAATCCTGTTTTAAGGATTCGTTTATGTGTTTGTATGCGTGGTTAGCTATAGCGTGTGCGTACCACATGGACGCAATGCTTACAAAGGCCAGAAGGGGGCAATCGGGTTCCCTGGAACTGGAGTTACAGATGGTTGTGAGCTGCCATGTGGGTGCTGGGGACTGAATCTCCTGGAAGAACAAACCCAGTGCTCTCAACCACTGAGCCGTCTCTCCAGCCCTGAGCCCATTTTCTTCTAAGCGCATTTCTAAACAATATCGTTGGAAAGCCTCTTCCTCTAGTTTGTTCACGCAGTTATATATTTCATGCATTGTATTTTTTTTCAAGTTCAACGGATTCCCAGTCCTCAGAAGCCCCATCTTGTAGCTAAATGATTTTTTTTCTCTAAAGCAGTGTCATTATCCAGTACCGAAGACCTCCCTAAGCCATTCTGTGAAGCTTTGTAAATGACCTGCACCAACCAAAGACTTCCAGCCTTTCAAATGCCTTTAATCCTGCCCTTAACACTGGCTGTCATCACAGGATGCAGGTCTCCCAGACAGACCTGAGCCCCTGGAAGCACTTAACGAGCAGGTGTTGATTGACAACTGCCACCATCATTCTGGCTCAGCCATCTGCAAAGAGCTGTGGAGCTGGCTTCTCAGACTCAAGCGTGAGCTGGCTGAGGAGTTCCATCCACCCAATGCATTTCCTGCAAGTTTTTACACAAAGTGAAGTTAAGAGAGCACACCCAGAGAACAACCACTTATGTTCTTGAGGTTTTGTGTTTTGTTTTTTTGGTTTTTTTTTGTTTGGTTGGTTGGTTTTTGGTTTTTTTGCTATCAACACAGAAGGTTGTCATTCAGAACATATCATTGAGTTCCATGTTTGGTAGATACACAAAAAGAGAGAAATCCATTTCTATGATAGTTTTGGAAAACAGCTGACAGCATAAAGGTGTGTGTGTGTGTGTGTGTGTGTGTGTGTGTGTGTGATATTATCAGTTAGTTGAGTCAAAGTCTTGGTATGTAGCCTAGGTTAGCTACTGACTTCCAGTCCTTCTGCCTCTTCCCCTGAGTGTTGGTTACAGTGTGTGTGCCACCACACACAGGTGCTGAGTTGTAGCATTCATCTAACTATTGTTTATTAACAAAATGAACTTGGGAGTCAGATATCATGGTGAGAATCTGAACAATCAGAGCACCAGTGAGGAAGTGATCAGAGGCCTCCACTCTCTCCTTCCTCAGTCCAAAAGAGCTGGGGGTCTTGCTAAGCCCCACCCTACTACTTCCGGTGTCCATCTATATGACTTTGGTTCTACAAAACACTCATGGCTAGCCAGGCAGTTTCCCATTATTACAAAACAAAAATCATGTTCCCATAAATTTGTTTTCATGTTAGCCACATATGACTTTGATTTTTCTTGCACTTTGTCTTTACCTTAGATAAGGTTCCAATCCCTAGAAACAGAATATTTACCTCCTGAAGATCCAAATCTGAATGCCACGATTTGGGTGAAATATTTGTTACACCAATGCCTATGTTTAGTAAACCTTCAATCACAATGCTGTTTTATTTTTTTCTTGTTTTAAGCTTTGGTCTTCGATCATGTATAGAAGTTTGAAAAATACTTGTTCTATGGTCTCTCCTGAAATTTTTGTTTTATCTACTGAAGCTGTTCCATCATCCAGAGCAGTGTTGCTTTTACTTGCTCTGTGGAGGAGTTTTCCCAATGCTGGCAGGGAATGATTGGACCAAATTTGACACTGGGATCTGTGAGAGGCCCCCTAAGGCATTTCCCAATGGCAAGGGGTCACCTTGCCTGTCCCTGGTTGATCAGCAGTCAGACCTCCAGCTCTACTTTGTTGTTCTATGGCTCTAGCTTCCTCTTTCCAGTGTGTTTTCCATTGTAATAGAGGACCAGCTTCCAATATTGCTGTAATTAAATCTTTCCAGCCTTTTGAGATGATTCCTTTTTGAGTGGCCCATGAATTTAACATCTGCTTCACGGAAGGTGAACCCGTACCACATGAAACTACTGCTTCTTCTGATGTCTTCAAATTTAGCACTGAGTCCTCTATTCCATTGCCTAGAGTCAAGCAATTCTAGAAGACAAGAACAGAACTTATGTAACTTCAACTTCATGGACATATAGCAGCCTGGAAAGTGGCCCTGGGGGGGGGGGGGAAGAAACCAGGAACCTCCCCTCCATGATGGGTTCTTTAATTTTTATGTTTTTTTTTCAGTGAGTGCCATATATCTTCAATGAAACCAGAACCAGGCCATCATATTCAAGGAAACATTCAAGAAAGACAGACCACAGCAGGCAACAAATAAATTGAAGGCAGGCAGGGGGGGAGGGGGGCCATGGGAGGATTGTTACAAGTTCATCATACTTGTTTCTTGAATGGCTTCATGCAGAGTCAAAGTACAATCCCCAGATACAAACCATTATCATTGCCTTGTATTGATCTTTAACCTACAGAATGTGAAAAACGGGAGCACACCGCTTACTTACTAACCAAGCATTTAAAAAGGAAATCTGCTCTATTACCCTGTTTTCATGTGTTGGTAGCACAATGCCACATATTAAGTAACAAAGAAAGCAGGTTTGTTTGATCTCAGAGTCTGGTCCGGGGATAAGAAACCATATCAGGATGTCTTCTTCTTGCTGTCAGACTCCAGAGGTAGCACAGGGCATCTCATGGCAAGAGATGGGAAGAAGAAAAACCACCCAGACATTTGGTTTTCCTGGTAGACCCAGTCTAGAGATAACCTATTTATCTATTATTCACATGCATGGAGAAATCTGCTCAGTAGCACAAACCCCTAATCATGCCTTAAGGACCCTCCCTGGCCCTAGCTCTTAATACCTCATAATGGAGATAAAATGTCAACAAGAGTTTCAGAGAAGATAAAATTCAAATTTTAACCTGGTGAATTCTTCTCTCCCATAGTTTGGGAAACCAGGAATGGGAACAGAAATGAATTCTCTCACTTTTTTTTTTGAGGCTGAGTCTTATGATACAGTCAGTATAGTCTCAAATTCATGATCCTTCTGCCTCAACTTCCTAAGTACTGAGATTTTAAAGAATGCACCTTCATGCCTGGACCCTTTCAATTTACACCAGATAATTGATGGGGGAATTAATTTCCCCACTCAAGTCTTGGTATCAAAGACTTTGGCGGTCCTACAGTGTAGTTGGAGTTTATGTTCTGCCTGGTCCTGCAGTTGATTAGCCCCAAATAAACACACAAAGACATATTATTTTAAACTCTTTGGCCAATGGCTTGGGCTTCTTACTGGCTAGCTCTCTCTTTATTATTAACCCATTTCTATTAATCTAAGTATTTCCACACGCTCTTGGCTTACCCCGGTAATGCCCCAACATGTTACTCCTTCGGCCTCTCCCTGGTGCCTCCTCTCTGCCTTCCTCTCTCCAGCCTTCTCCTGGTCTGGTCACCCAGCCTATGCTTCCTGCCTGGCTCCTGGCCAATCCGTGTTTTATTCATCAACCAATAAGAGAAACATATATACAGAAGGACATTCCCCCATCACTAAATATCAGAGGAAACATCCTCCTACCAGGGATTATGATGTCGGTTCTGTTCAGCTAGGAGCTGAGCCCTTGCATGGGCATCCTAGGCTCATCACACACTTGATCTGATAAGCCGGGAGATCTTTATACTGATGAGGTGAGGGGAAGACATCCGGTTGCTGTGACTGCATGGATGGTAAGAAGCAACTGGCCTAGAATTCACGAGGTTGGTTGGGGGGTACCTCCTAGTAGTTTCTGGCCTGAAACTTCTAGTCCACAATACTGAGGTAGCCGAGTTAAAATAAGTCAAGCACAGGGTATCAGACCCTGGATGGATGAAACTATGAGTCGTGCCACCAGGTAGAGGTGAAATACTACTCCAGTTGTCATACTACACTGGCAGGAAATGAGGTCCCTGGGTGGGTGCTCCTTACCTTCATGCTGTGTGGAATCAGCATCCTATTTACCCTTGGGCTTTCAACTATGATTGCCGGAGGCAAGAGCTGTTAATGCTCACCACACAGTCATGAGTCCTCTACAGCGTTAACCAGTATCCAGCTTAAGTTCATTTTCTGAGCATGTTGCATAATCTAGGGGGCAGAGCTCTCAGGTTCTCCCGTGTGTGTGTGTGGGGGGGGGCATGTGCAAGCATGAATTTGTGTACATGTGCATAGGTATGTGTATGCTTGCATGTGTGTATATGTGTGTAAGTGTGTGTGTGTGTGTGTGTGTGTGTGAGCATGTGCACGCCAGGGTCTTATACATACTGAGCAAGCACTATACCTCATACTCTCCCCTTCCTGTCATTATTTTTAAAACAAGTTCAATTTTATTATATCAACAATTCAAATAATAAAAACTTCTGCTTACCTCAACATTACAGAAAAGAGACCTTAAAAATGTTCATGTCTTTTGACTTTGACTTCTCCTAAGACTTTATGCACTATATGGAAATCTATAGAGTCTATGGAAATTAAAGAGATGAGAAATGTACACTTCAGTGTTGTATGTAACTGATCAAAAAAAAAACAAAGCAAACAAACAAAACTTTGAAGCAACCTTAGCATCAACCAGTAGACAAATGGTTTAGAAAATAATGGAAATTTAATAAATCAGGATATCATATAGTCAGTAACAGAACACTTGGAAGGCAACACCAATGTCACAAAGGAAGTGATTATGCTGAATCTGTGGAGAAAACACTGAATAAAACACAGTCTAAAAACTGATTCCAAATAGAACTACTGGACTATATTTTGTTTCCGTGGATATGAACCTATGCTACTTTTATACTGAGGCTTTTGAAGAACACCTGTTAAGTTCTGCTTATGTGTGACTTTTGTCTCATTGTCCCTGTCTGAGCGCCCTCAGAGAATTGCCTCCCAAGGTTAAGAAATAATAAGCATATGCTTATTGATTTGTTCTTAGTTTTGGTCTTTGAGTTTGTAGAGTTTTTGTTGATGCAGTTTGGTCTGTTTTGTTGGTTCTGGCACTGAGGATTGAACCTAAGGCCCCAAGCTAGCTAAGCAAGCACCCCACCCCTAAGTAATGTCCCAGACCTAACCTATCCATGTGTAAGTTTGGGCTTGTCGAAAAGTTTAAAAGAATGTGGGGAAGGGATTTTGAAGAAATCTGATCCTTCCAAGACCTGGCAACAATATGGCTTAGGCGACTGTCACAGGATTTCTCCACAGATTGGATTCCTCCAGCTGCCAGAACTTAAAAGACAAAACACAGACACTCTTCTCTTTGCAGAAGCAGAGCGCTGAGGAGATTGCAGAGGAGGACGAGGCAGTTTCTGCTTCCTGTCTTCATTCTAACCATTCCCCAAGTAAGTTCCTGCGGGGAGCAACTTCATGCCAGGGCAGTGAGAGACGAAAGTGAAGCCTTCAGAACTCCTAAATGTCATAAAACACCGGTCCTTCAGTGCAACAAGATGCCCTGTGCTTCAATGTGCAGGATGAGCCAGAATCCCGCACCAGATGACTGTGGAGACAGGAGCGGGCAGGCAAGTCAAACATTCGTCTGAAACTCTCTGACCCTGATCTGACTATGTTTCCTGGATCCTGTAGCAAACACATCTTAGAAGGTTGCACTAACTTCTAGTGACATCCAGGATCTTCTTTCCTTTCTCCTCTCCCTCCCTTCCCCTCCCCCTCTCCCTTCCTCCCTCCCTCCCCTTTCCTTCTTCCCTCAAAAGAGCTTCCAAGGGACTAAGCTTTCTTTGTCCCCAGCTATGTCACCAGGGCCAGTATTTGAGAGCACATAAACAAAAGGGGACTTGGTTTTCAGCCATTGTAATTACCAATATGATTTTCCTTAGTTACTTGTGTTTCTTACATTTTTTTTTATTTTTATGCGAATGAGTACATTGCCCGGATGCATGCCAATGTATGTCTGGTGCCCTCTGAGGCCATAAGAGGGCGTTGGATCCCCTGGAACTGGAGTTGCAAACAATTGTGAGCCACCATGTGGGGGCTGGGAATCAAGACCCAGATCCTCCGGAAGAGCAGTCAGTGCGGTTAACTACTGAGCCATCTCTCCAGCCTGATTTTCCTTCTGTAGACACGAAACTTCCTTCAAGGGAGGTCAGAGAAACCCCCACATGCAAATGAACCAGCAGATAAAACACACATAAAACTACAGTTCACCACAGCAGAACAATCTACCGTCTACAAAAAAATAAAAAAGTTGAAAAGCAAATGTCAATTAATTTATAGGAAGTCAGATGCCGCTCTCTAGCAATCAGCTGAAGGCAGACAGCGCTATGATGATCAGCCCCAAATATCCAGACTTGAATAATAAGTGACAGCTCCTCTATTTTTGTTCCCGATTCCAACTGAAAACCCAAGGAAGCCAAGCGTGTACCCCATATCTCTCAGACAGGATGGCAGCTAGTCTACCTCCCACGCCTCCCCAGCAGGAGCCTCTGCTAAGACCACACCAGGAGGAAGCCCGTCCTTTCTATTTATTGCTTTTCTCTTTCTCTGTCTGCCTTTTTGTCTCTGCCAAAATACCAGTGATGGTGGCCAACTCCCTTGTCACAAGATGCGAACAAAGAGGAGCAGATGCAGTCTGGTCGCTTCTGGGCGAAGGAATCAGCATCGCCATGGAAGTTATTCAAGACGGAAAGGCTCACCTCCTTCCTAGTCCACAGTTGCGGAGTCAGAGACCCCGGGTGCTTCTGTCCAGGAAACGGTTGGACTGTCCTCGGTGTGTCTCCAGAACTACGCAGTTGGAGAACCTTAACAGTGTAACCAGATCTGAATTACTTTGCGTCCCACAGACATTTTTATCTTTTGGGAGGTGTTCCTAAGTGGCACCAGAAGGTTCCTTCCCTACAAGTAGGCTCTGCCGATCTGTTGTTCCCCCCAGTTACAGCCACCAAGCGCCAGACAAGCCCCAGCTGAACAGTAGGGAAGGCACATGTGCTCCTCTGGGATCCATGCCTTTGCATAACACGGCAACCCTCTCTGAAACTGCACTGCATGCGGCTCCTCTCCTCTCTTCTCTGCCACCTGGTATTGTGATCTGTTAGGAGACAAACACCAGTTTTGGCTGTGCCTAGTGACTAACTGTTCCCAAGAACCAGCCAAATTATCCCTAGCACACAAGCTTCCCACCGATGGCTACTTTTCATTTGTAGAGATTTCCTAGTAGTCTAGTGAGTGGAAAATGCCTTGTCCCCACCTAGAATCTTATTCTATGGAAACTACAGATTCCAAACTCAGAGTCATGATAGAAGTTTCCAGTGACTTTTCTCCAGCTCAAATGTGTGATTTCCAGCACTTGGGTTGAAATTTGCAATAGGAGACAGGCATGAGGGTGGATATCTTTAGTCCTGGCACTTGGGAGGCAGAGGTTGGGGAGATACGTTTGAGTCTAAGGACCGTCTGGTCTTCCTAGCGAGTTCTAGGACAACTGGGTCTGCATAGCCAGGCCCTGTTTTGGGGGGGGGGGTGGTAAGGAAGGAAGAAGTTTGCTAGGTAAAAGAAGTCAGGGCTCTGAAACACAGTAGGCTATGAGATGGGATGTACTTTTGGTGGAGAACATTGTTTAGACAATTCTTTTAAAATTTTTATTTATGTATTTCAGGAATATGAGTGCTCTATCTACATATACACTTACATTCTGGAAGACAGCATCAGATACAATTACAGATGTTTGGAAGCCACCATGTAGCTGCTGAGAATTGAATTCAAGACCTTTGAAAGAGCAGCCAGTGCTCTTAACCACTAAGCCATCTCTACAGCCCAGGGGGAGAACATTTGAATTCTGCACCAAAACTCCGTTGTTTAGAAGCTTCTCTAAACAAATCGTTTTTCCAGAAGCGTCACAGTAGTTTCAAGTTCCAAGTTGCTTGGAACCAAGGACAAATCCATCGACTGCATACTTAGGTCTTAAATGATCTCAGAATCCTGTTTTTTTTAAAATTGTTTTAAAAGATGAAAAATTAGGTACAGATACAAGAGAAATGAAAACACAATAGAATATGAATATTTGAACACTGAGAAATATTACTGTTTCATAAGCTGCAGGGAAACTAATGCAAAAATTAATGAAATGCAAGAGTAAATGTGCATTGAAGCTCTGAGATATTGCAGTGATGTTTCCTTCCCATAGTGTTACCTGTGTGAAGATGTCGTAACAAGAAAAACAAGATCAGACGTCTTTCCTCTGGCCTGGCTGATAGAGTGTTTAAATTGTAGAAGGTTCTTTCAGCAACTCACCCTTTATGTATGATGCCATAAAAATTGTTTTGAATGGTGAACATATTTAGGAAAATTGGGATGATTTTCGTCACATGAGTTTTACAGTTTTAAAGTTCCAGTACCCTGGCTTAAGGTTGCATGGGTTCTAAAGATGGGGCTTCTCCAGAAATACACACTAGAAAAAAAAGGCAGCATCTTCTGCAAATGGTGCTAGTCAAACTGGGCAGCTGCACATAGAGCAATGCAAATGCATCCATTCTTATCACCCTGCCTAAATTCAACTGCAAATGGATCAAAGACCTTAACATAAAGCCCAGAGACACTGAACCTGATATAAGAGAAGGTGGGGAATAAATAGCCTGGAACCCACTGGAGCAGGAAAAGACTCCTGAGCAGAACACCATTAGCACAGATAAATAATAATAATAATAATAATAATAATAATAATAAAAAATTATTCCTCCTGAAACTGGAAACCTGAACAGTAAAAGACACTGCTATTCAGACAAAGTGGCAGCCTACAAAATAGGAAAGATTTTTACCAACTACACATCTGATAGAGGACTAGTATCCAAAACACATAAAGTACTCAAAAACCTGGATATCAGGAAAACAAATTACCTAAACTAGAGAGAGAGAGAGAGAGAGAGAGAGAGAGAGAGAGAGAGAGAGAGAGAGAGAAAGAGAGAAAGATCTAAACAGAATTCTCAAAAGAAGAAACTCAATGGCTGAGAACCATTTAAAGAAATTTTCAAAATCCTTAGTCATCAGGGAAATGCAAATCAAAATGACTCTGAGATTTCATCCTACAACTGTCAGAGTGGCTAAGATCAATAAAACAAGTGACAGTTCGTGCTGGTGGGGATATGGAGTAAGGGGAACACTCCTCCATTGCTGGCGGGAGCGCAAACTTGTACAGCCACTATGGGAAGCAGTGTGGTGGTTTCTCAGGAAGATGGGAATCGATCTACCTCAAGATCCAGTCATATCACTCTTGGGCACAATACCCAAAGGTCACTTCACCCTATCACAGTGACATTTTCTCAACCATGTTCATTGCTGCTCTATTCATAACAGTCAAAAGCTGGAAACAACCTAGATGTCTCCGAACAGAAAAATAAATGGATAAATAAAATGTGGTATGCTTACACAATGGGGTATTACTCAACCATTTAGAAAAGAAGAAGAAATTGTGAGATTTACAGATAAATGAATGGAACTAGAAAAAAAATCATCCTTAGTGGGATAACCCAGACCAAAATGACAAATATGGTATGTATTAGCTCATATGTAGTTAGTAGCTATTAAGTCAATGATAACCAGGTACAATCCATAGAACCATAGAGTTAGGTATAGAGTAAGAGACTAGGGAGAGAACATATATAGATCTCCCCAGGACAGAGAAAGGGAATAGATATTTATGAATGGGTCTGGAACATAAGGATGGTGTAGAGTAGAGTGGGAAAGGAAAGAGGGAAATGAGGGAAGGAATTTGGGGAAAGACAGATAAAATTAAGGGTCATTTGAGGGGTAGTATGGAAGCCTAATACAGTAGAAGGGTCCAAGTACACACACACACACACACACACACACACACACACACACACACACACACACACACGAAATTGCCAGATAATGGGTAGACAGATCCCAGAGTCCAACTGGCCATCTCTTTTCATCAAATGAAGCTTCCAGTACCAGGATTAGGTTAAATCTGAGTTGTTGGCCAAAGGGGTCCGATGAGAGCCCCAAACCTAAGCTGTTGCCAAGACCATAGGTTGCTCTCCACAAACAGACAGCAAGATCCCATTGCTGAAGACAACACCTACACAATTCATTGAGCATAGACAAGTTGAGCTGGTTACTGCAAAAAGCCTTCACCCCATATGCTAGTGTTTTTGGTACAGGAAGGCGCTTGTGGCAGTTTGAATGTAATTGGCCCCCATAGGCTTGCAGGAAGTAGCATTATTGCGAGATGTGGCTTTGTTGGAGTAGGTGTAGCCATGTTGGAGGAACTGGGTCACTACTGTGGGGGTGGGCTTTGAGATCTCCTTTGCTCAAGCTACACTAAGTGTGACACTCAAATGCCTTCCTGTTGTCTGTGGATCAACACTAGGGCTCTCAGATTCTTCTCCAGCACCAAGTCGGCCTGAATGCCACCTAGCTTCCCACTGGGATGATAATGGGCTAAACCTCTGAAATGTAAGTAAGCCTTCACTAAATGTTTTCCTTTGTAAGATTTGCTGTGGGCCTGGCAGTGGTGGCGCACACCTTTAATCCCACCACTTGAGAGGCAGAGGCAGGTGGATCTTTGTGAGTTCAAGGCTAAATGGGTCTACGGAATAAGTTCCAGGAGATTGAGAGCAACGCAACACTGAGAAACGATGTCTCAAAAAAAAAAAATCAAGAGATAAAGAAAGGAAGAAAGAAAGGAAGAAAGAGAGAAGAAAGTAAAATAAAGAGTTGCTGGCCATGGTCATGGTGTCTCTTCATAGCAATAGAAACCCTAACTAAGACCGTCACTGCCAAAGAAGAAACATAAACATCAACCCAGACACAAACGTTTTTGTCTACAATGATGCCCAACCTGCAAGATAGGCAGCTATAGCAGTGGCACAAATTTTGTGGGAGAAACCGACCAATATCTGATCCTCACTCTACAAGATGGAACATGCACCTTGGTACTGCTTAGGTGAGCAAGAACCTAAGACTAAATAATTCAAAGATCTGGGGTAAAACCAAATACTACTGTTCTAAATAAATAAATAAATAGATAGATAAATGAATGGATAAATTGAGTCCTAATGACACTCCCCTATACTCATAGGTCAGTGCCTTGGTCAGCCATCATCAGAGAAGCTTCCTCCTACAGCAGATGGGGACAAATACAGAGACCACAGTTAGACATTATGCAGAGAGAGAGAGAGAGACCTTATAACATGCAGCCCTAAATGGGATGTCTCTATCAAATCTCACCCTCAGGGCTCAGGGAATCCAACAGTAGAGTATCCTTTGCATAAATATTATGGCTTCAAGAGAGGAATGTTTTTTGTTTGTTTTATTTATATTTTCAGAATTCCTGAGTGTGTAGATGAATGGGTCTCTGTGGGAACACCAGACCTTGAGCAGAGACCCACTTCCCCTTCTGCCTGGGAGTAGGCAGCTGTAAGACAATGTTTACTAAAAACATGTTTACTAAAAACAATACAATGCCTGGGGCAATAAGTTCCTGGAAAAAGCCTGCCCACAGAAACCGCCCTGACCTCGACCTTGTCCAAAGACTAACCAGCTATTCTGACACGCCCAGATCAGTTTTTGGTGTCAGAGCAGAACCAGCCAGGGTAGAGGAGAGAGCAGAAGCTTCTCTGGTGGGAGCCTTTCTTAGGAAGTTTTCTTGAGCCTTTTTTGGGCCTGCTTAAAGTTTTCTTTACATCGTTGAACGAGTCTCTGTGTTGTCAATCCCCGACACCCTCCGCACGTTCTCGGACACAGGCCGCACAGCAGATGCGAAAGGTCTCTGTTTCTTGTGCCTTCTCTTGGGCTCTTCTCTTCTTTTTTGTTTTTGTTTTTTGTTGTTGTTGTTGCTGTTTTGAAAAAAACAAAAAAAGATGGTACTTCTCAGAGTCAGGGTAGCAACTACCAGAGAGAAACCCACTCACTTCACAATGACATTCCCTTTCATGTCTGCAGACCCAGGAAATATTACAGGGGGAAGGTGGGGATGGGGAAGAGGCCCTTAGAAGC